GGACAGACAAATGTGAAAAAGCTTTCCAAACAATGAAATCTTTGATGGCTAGTGATATTTTAATGCGGTATCCCGATCACAACAAGCCCTTTGAGCTCTATACTGATGCTTCGGACTATCAAATGGGTGCCGTGATCATACAAGACAAAAAGCCCGTGGTGTACTGGAGTCGCAAACTCAATGATGCGCAAAAGAATTATTCTGTCATGGAAAAAGAAATGTTGGCTATTATGCATTGCTTGAAAGAGTTTCGCTCCATGCTTTACGGTACGCAATTGACTATTTTTACAGATCACAAAAATCTCACCTTCCGCACATTGAATACACAACGAGTTTTACGCTGGCGAATGTACATGGAAGAATTTTCGCCTACGTTTAACTATTTGCCTGGTAAAGATAATATTTTGGCCTACTGTTTCTTGCGTTTACCGCGAATGGAGAAACCGTCTGAGGGGAAGAGTTCGCTTTCTAAAGGTAAATTGATCGCATTTGACAAACTCAATGTCAAAATGGATCCCGAGGATGAAATGTATTCTTTCAAAGAAGAAGTTCTTCTTCCTCCTCCATCTGAAGCGGAATTCAATCGTACCTTCAGATGCATGTTTGCTTGTTGTCGAGATGGTGATCATGGACATGGCGCTATCAAAAATGATGAGATGCTTGAATCGTTTCTCAATCATCCTCCATTGGAAGTTTTGCCAAATCCAATCACCATGGCAAACATTCAACAACATCAGCTCCAAGATGTTGCCCTCATTCAAAAATCGCAAAATGCAGCAACTTGGGCTCAATATCCCATCATGCAAATCGACAATCGGAATGTGATCTGCTACCGTGCAGATTTGAATAAACCTAACAAATGGAGAATTCACTTGCCTGAAACTTTGGTTGCTCCAGTGATTGTATGGTATCATTTGGTACTTGGACATCGAGGTACTACTTCTTTGTACAATACAATTGTCCGACGGTTCTATGCTCCTGCTTTGAAAAGAAAAGTTGAATCCCTCAGATGTGAAGTTTGCCAAGTCAATAAAAATGTGAACATTCAATACGGGCATCTGCCTGAAAGACACGCAGACTTGGTCCCATGGTTTTCTGTGGCTGCGGAGGTCAACGGTGTAGACATTGAATTCAATGCGCTCACTTGTATTGATCCCGTGACAAATCTCACTGAACTCTCACACATTGAGAACAAAACTTCAGCCCACGTCACAAATGTCTTCGAGAATCTTTGGCTTTCTCGATATCCAAAACCCTACAAGTGCATTCACGATCAAGGCGGCGAATTCATTGGTCATGATTTTCAGTTGAAACTACAGCAGTAGGGAATTCACGATGCATCGGCAACAAGCAAGAATCCAACTGCCAATGCTACCTGTGAACGGATGCATCAGACTGTTGGCAACATTCTACGAACAAGATTCAACAACACTAACATGTCCCCAAACATTCAGACAGCTAATCAAGCCGTCGATGATGCTCTCGCAGCATGCAATCATGCTATGAGATGTGCTGTTTCTCAGTCTTTGAGAAACAACACTCCAGGTGAAGTAGTGTTTGCTCGTGACATGTTGCTCAACATTCCTGTCATTGTCGATCTTTTGAGTATACAAGAAAGAGACAATTGATGGTCAACGAAAATCTACTGCGACAAAATGCTAAACGAAGGGAGTTTGATTACAACGTTGGTGGCAAAGTTTTGATCAAGAATTTCAATCCAAGTCAATTGGATCCAAAGATGGAAGGTCCTTATCAAATTACTCATGTGTTTACTAATTGAACTGTTGAAGTTCGCAGGAGTCCTCAAGTCTTTGAGAGACTGAATATACGGCGTCTTGTGCCGTTTCCTCGAGTCTAGCAAGCGATGAGTTTGAATTGCCTAAGTAATTGGTACGTCTGGACTTTGTTTTTTCTACGTGTATAGATAGTATATAACGCATTTTGTCGGTCTTTACGTTACGTGTGTAAATACGGGATTTTCTACACGTTTTTTACATGTTCCGTGACAAATTTTTTGACGCTTGTCCTGACGCTTGTCGGCTTTTTTTGACGCTTGTCCCGACGCTTTTCCGCTTTTTCCGACGCTTTTCCGACACTTGTGTTTTGATGTCAGGCATGTCGTAGATGTCACATGATGAGTCAGAGACACAAGCAGATGTCCAGCTTGTTCTCTATCATGCACGGCCAATAAGTAATGTATATATTGGCGAGGAACGGGTTCGACACGCGAACACGTTCACGATCCGTTTGGATAAACATGCAATTATCCACATCACAATTAAAAGGAATCCGACAACGATTCACAACAACAACGTAATACGATAGTGACTGTTACCATCTTCACCTTACACACGTATTCAATTCAGTTTATCAGTACCCAAATAAGCTACAACTATGGTGCAAATCGATCCAGCAGCGATGACTGCTTTCTGGGAGCAAGAAGTCCAGATGCGCATCGTGCAGGATATACGGGACCAACTGGAACTTGATGGCTTGACAACATTCGAGAGTTTTGCTGACTACACCAAGGATGACTTATCGGCCATGAGGAAGCGAATCAGCTACATTCAAAACATCCCTCATTTTGGTCAAGATTCGTTCAAACGCCTTGTGATTGCATTTGAAGCATCTCGCAACTACAAGCTTGTTGGTCGCGAAATCACTGCCGCAATGATGCATTATGAGCAGTAATGTCAGCATCTCAATTGCCTGATGGTGAATGCGCAAGCATTCTTGATAGTAGCGTCAACAAGAAGAACACAGCCAAATTCACATGTCTGAATGGGTTAATCTCGACTCCTCTTGTGGAACAGTACCTGTTCCACAGTATTGATGCCGCAAAGAAAAGAGGCACCAAGATCAAGCGCCCGAAGCAACAAATTTATCATTTCTCTATGTTTTCTTGATCGCCCCCCTAATAAGCATCCATTCGTTTTTCTACAGTCACGAAGGATTGAATATGATATGAGAACACGAGGTGGAAAAAGGAATCTCCCCTCTTCTTTTTTCCCTCTCCTTTTTCCTTTTTTCTTTACCCCCAAGATACCCCCCCAAATTATCCTTACTAGTAAGTGAGCGCAACAAGCACATTATATTTACCAAAAGACACCGGCCCGGTCCGTCTGACCTCCACCTCCAACAGGTCGCTGGAGAAGTGGAAGGAGCAATTGGGCCTTGAACAAAATTCCAAA